TCCCTGTTTTATGTGGGCTTTACAGAAAGAATACTTTGTATTAGGAACATTGAGTGTAACTGGTATTATGTGTCACTTAATTTGTGTATAAAGCTTTTTAGTGATACATTCACACTGTTTTCAAGGATAAGAGTGATTCAGCTTACAGTGTTAGACCTCCTTCCCAAATAAAGATCTTTTGCTTTTTCCTCTCTTGTAGCAAAAATAACTGCCATTGTGCAAGGTACCTCCTTGTAAGAGGCTGAAACTTTTCCATAGATGTACTTTCCTTTGTGATACCTCTTTCAAAAAGAAGCTTATGCTGTTTTGGAGATGGGGAATGGCACCACATAAAGGCAAAAGTGCGAGCACAAAATATATAGACAGTATTACATGTCTATAGGTGATTAATTGTAGTAGTGTAACCTGTGTTAGTCCGTAAGTTTATAAACTGTGATATTTTTATTATTGCAGGACCCTGCAAGATGTAGGGGGCAGTCTGGAATAATTCTGATTTTTTCAGATGAACTCAAATGTTTCCCAGCAATGCAGTGAATCTTGCATTTTTCTGCTAGGAGAAAGGGGGGGTGAGAAATAGTTTGCAGGGAAGAGGTCAGGTGAATGAAAGGAGTTAGGGGAACTGGGCAGGCCCAAGAGAGCAGGGGCAGGGTAGGGATAGGAGAAGCATCTTCCATTGTGCCTCTAAGTCAGCCTTGCCAAACCACCCAGTCTTCTGAACTAGGGTCTTGGAAGCACCCTTCTTCTCTAGAGAAGTGATGTTTATAAAGAAGGGGAAATAAATGGTTCCTTGTGCTTAAATATTCAAGAACAAAAGCAGTCACTTCTGTAAACCTGTGAATTAATGCTATGTCCTTTTTATTTTTCTGAGGATCATTTCTTGAAAAAGACACTTTGATGTCATTATAAGCGATCAAGAAATGGGAAAGAATTTTGTATTTTGTATGTGGGCCTGAATAAATAGATCCATTGAGAGGCAGACAGAGCAAGTCACTTGGAATGCACCAGTCAACAGCAGAAATGTAAACATACTCCAGCTATGCTCTTTGCATTTGTATTTCAGTGTGCCACAGAACAAAACTGCTATTAATGCAGGCTGACTACTGCTCTTGTTGAATTCAGGATTGAGTCCCTCACAAAATCCAGTTTAATTCACAGACTGTGAATCAGAACCGCATTGTGTCTGACACTGGAAACCCAGTAATGCTGGAACTTGCTGCAGAGGAGTCCAGCTTAAAATGAGGTGTATGGAGTTGGTTTGCAGAGCTGGGCAGGTTTAGAGTAACAGCAAATGAATAAAATGCTGAGTCCAACATATCTTTGTCTGTGTTCCAACGTGTTCATGTAACTTTATCTCATAGACAGGTAGACCTACCATGTGTTTACCTTCATCCAGTACCAGTCCTAGTGAAACAGCATCCACTAAGACTGTTGCTTCATGAATTATGATAAATTATATTAGAACTATTAGAATCTGTTAGAATTTTAGCCTTTAAAAACAAGCAGGTTACTAGTAATAATTGTGTAGAAACAAACACAATTCAATTGGTTGTGGTGAAACTAGACTTACTCTGACAGCTGTAGGGAAGCAATATTAGTTTGTGTTTAAAACCAAAATAACTTCCTCATCTCTTGATTTTTTTTTTGTTTGGGTTTTTTGTCATCTTGACAAAACGAATGTCACCAAACCTGATAGTGTAATGTTATAGTTGTTTTTATTCCTGGGTATAAAAATGTGTTTTACTTCTGAGGAGTGTATAACAGTGATGCCAAGAAAGAAAGCTTAATCACAAGCTGAGGTGTGTAAGATCTACGCTCCAAAAGGCACAGGTATCTGGAAAGCAGATCTAATGTGCTGGAATCTTTAGCTTGTGGTGAAGAAATCTCTTGGCAAATAGAATGTCCTTGACTATAAAGGCTTCTTATGGCATTATACATTTTCTTTTGATTGGGCTTTGAGGGACCTCAAAAAGCAGCATTAGATACTGAGCTTCATGCCAAAATTCCCTTGCCTAATTTTCACCATTTTACATAATTCCTTGCATCTTTTACAGGTCCTTCTTACTTAATATTGAGTAAGTAACTTCTTTCTTCAGCTGCAGGTCTTTTTTATAGAATCAGAGGAATTATTACAACCTCTTGTCCTGATTGTGAGAGTACTGCAAATACGTTCCTTTGACACAATGCAGGCATGGTGCAGGATAGTCAAATCAAACTCCAAGCAATAGCTCTCTTATGTGTTTAAAAATAAAAGATAAATATCAGCTTCATAAGGCAGATGAACCTTAATTGCTGAATGTTTATAGAAAGTTTTGAGATGGTCAGAGGCAAGGTCCTGTGCAAATGCAGTATTTTATTAAAATATTTAATAAGCAGATTCTCTGACCAAACAGAGGGAACAAAGGTGCCTGTCCACTCTTAATTTTCCCTACCCATAATTATTTCTACAGAACATAAATTACATACTGTACAGCTTTATTCTGTTTTCAGAGGATAATTAGACTAGAAATTCCAGCCCTCTTTCTGTGGAGGGGCCTCTTTCTCAGGCACCACACCTTGTAGCAGTCTGTTTTTCATTTGAGAAAGGCTGGATGCCCATTTATGTCCAAAAGTTTTTATGGATTGACTACTTTTCAAAAAATGACTACAGGTGAAATGGGAAGCTCTTATTCACAAATCATAATAACTCAGTCTGAAAGATGTATTGGAAGCTGATGACACAGAAGTGGAAGCTTTCTGGCATGTGAAATCTGTCAGAGGTTAATCCTAATTTCGTGCCTGCTGTTATAACTGAGAGAGGAGCCTGTAATTCCTGTTGTAGTCATCTGAGTGTCTCCAGTGGTATCTCCATGCTGAGGGGGAACTTGGACCAGGTTGCAAATGAGGCAAGGCAGGATGCAAAACAAACAGCACCATTTGCTCAGTGTATGAGATTTGAGGCATTGATGGATATATTTACATAAGCATTTAAAGAATTTAATAAACAGAAAGCCAAGGTCTTAAAACAAAGTTCACAACCCGTGTGTAGCATACCAGGAGGGACAAGTCTGTCATTCTCCAACATTAAAGACTGATAGACCCAGTATTCTTTGAAGTTCCAAAGAGCAAACTAGTGTTTCAGAAATATTCCAACGTAGTAATAATCTAATAGTGATGCTTTACTGTTTTTAACATACACAAGTAGCAAAATTATATTCCCATATGATTAATTTTAGTAAGCTGGTTGCAGCAAGGAAACTGAGTTCTGTTAGGAAAAGAAAAAAACTCCTGTTGAAGTCTTACTTCTGCTGGAAAAGTTTGTTTGTTTTTTGTAATGTAGCTGTGGTATACTCAAGGCTTTCTTTTTCATCATTGCATATGCAAAATCCAGACCTGCAGAACTGTTCCATGTGGTGAACAGTCTGCTGATGAGTAGCAGATTTCCATATACCTCATTGAGTTTGGCTTTTTTTTAATTTATGTAGGCTCTGTTCCTTCAAAGGGATGTACGACTGTAGACATTTATATCTACCAAAGTGATATCTTATGAAGTACTAAGGAAAATACAAGGGCAAGTCCTGTTGGAGAGTAAGAGCTTTATTTTGCAGAGTAGAACCTTCTTTCCAACTTCTTTCCAAGTTTAATCTTTCATGGAAACAGGATTTTTAATTGTACCCAAAAAGGTTCTGGATGTTTAGTGAACAATGTAAGCTGCAGTATGTAATGCAAATCTATATCCCTTTTGATTAGTAAAAACTGTAAGAAAGATTTAGGTCAGTACTGCTAAAAGTAGCATGGACTTCAGCTGGTTGTCAGCTTATGCAGGCTGATTTAAATAAAAAGAACTAGATCTTTCCACACCAAACAAGCCATTTATCATGAGCAATAGCACGCATGCTTCAGTCTTCTGTCCTGTGATAAAGGCAGTTGATCAAGGTGCCTGAATACATCTTTGAAGTTATCTTCTTTCTATGGTTTCCTACCATCCAGATTTCTGGTGTATGCATGGACTGCATGCAAAGATATTGCATAATATCTTTGTTCATATTATTTCCTTCTGAGAATTAACAAAATAGTAGAATCAGGGTATATCAACATAAAACAATGTAGACTGGAGGGAACCTCTGGAGGTTATCTGTCCAAGCAGGGCCAGCTTAGGTCAGTATGCTCCTGGCAGTTGTTCAGCTGAGCTTTGAGCACCTCCAAGGATAGAGATTCCCCAGCCCCTCTGGGCCTGTCTTCCAGTATTTGATTACTCTCATTTTTAAAATGTTTTTCCTAATAGCTAACCAGAACTTCCTTTGTTGCAACATGTCTGCATTGCCTTTCATCCTTTGTGTACTTCCGAGAAGACTTTGGCTCCATCTTAATATTTTTCCATTAGATAATTGAAGGCATCAATATGCCTTCAATAACAGTATGTCTTCAACTCCTTTCTCCAGTATCCACCCCTCCCTAGTGTTCTCTTCAGACTGAAGACAAACATTTCATTCAGCATCCCCCATTACATCACATACCTAAAAATCTTTCTGGCCCACTGTGCCCTTGATCTAGTAGATTAACATCTGTGTTGTACTGGGAAGCCAAAGACTGTAGTAGATGGCATGGCTGACATGCACTTGGCCATCTATTACTCCTCAGTCCAAAGTTTTTTACTTGTTCTTAGCTGGTTTGACTGAAGGTGGCTTTTTGAATAATTCAAGACTCAAAGTCCTCTCCTCCTGCAATAACAAGATATCTTAACTACAGTGATCCACATCTTATTGATGAGGGCTAAGAAATAGAATTGTTTAGAGTGAAAAAGCTAATGCTTTGCACTAGTTATACTCTTGATTAAAGTAGTTTAATTACAGTGTGTCATGTTATAACCTATTTTTATAGATGGTATCACTCAATACTTTTTTATATCACCACAGCCTCATCCTGGCCCTCTTACTTTAACCATAGGGAACCACTGTGGAAAACACTTTAAAATCCCAGGGACTCTGTGTGTAATGTACTGTTCAATTGACTTCTATTTCTAGTGCACTTGGAGGATCATCTGCCCTTCACATCCCAGCCTTTCCTGGTGGAGGTTGTCTTATCGACTACGTACCCCAAGTGTGCCAGCTGCTAACAAACAAGGTAAGTCAGTAAAGAGAACTCGGTCAGTAAAGATATTATTATTGATTCGGGGGCGTGGGTGTCTCCATTCAGTCCCCATGGCCAAAAGTGAACTGGGAAAGCACTGGCTGAGAATCCCCATTCTATTATTATTGATTAATTGATCAGTTTTATTGATTATTGAATCAGTTTTCCTTTCCCTGAAGTGCTGTACCATATTGCACTAACACACTATAGCATTTCCACAGACAATTTGTCTTCTGCCAGGTAGTCCAGGCAGGGCATACTTCAGTTGAACTACACTAAGAATACCTTCTTGATAGGAGCTGAGCACCTGCTCAGGGCACTGAATATTAAGCATATTTGGGATCAGATCCTGGAGTGGATTTTTCATATTATGACATGGTACAACGTAGGATAAAATGTTTCTAGTAAATACAAATGTGTAGTTTGCATATTATTTTTGCAGTTGGAAGATCTAAGTTCTTTCACCATAGTCTTCGCTGTAGGTTTTGAGTACTTCCAGTACTTCAGATGTTTCATCCAAATGAACTGAATCAGCAGTCTAGTTGGATGTTTATACAGTAATAGCTACTTAAGGTGGCTGAAAAGGTTGTGTTCTGGTATAGCTTCCTGTTTAAACAAAAGAGAGTGAGTATAGTATTTTGAAAGCTTCTTCATTATCAAAGTGTAATTTTGAAAAGATAGCTTAGGGGCCAACATCTAGGAATCTGCCAACTACAGACCTCCTATTCTTATTTATATTTTTACCTTCATTTATCTAAATGAGGAAAATAATTTTCTCTTTTAGAAAAAGTTCTTCAAAATGTGTTTCCGTAATTATATTGGAATCTATCTTTAGAGTTGTTTTTGTTGTGGTTTTCTGTTAAAATCACTTTCTGTTTTTAAAATCTGCAAGTACACAGGACTGTTTTTATCCTTTCTTAAACAAAGTCCCTTAAGCAAACTTATCATATGTTTTCCTTTTCCCAGAATAACATTTCAGATCCCACAAAAAACCTTCAAAATAATCATAGGTTTTTTTATAAAATGAAATAAATCTGGATTTATAAATAGAATTTAACTTCAGGGGTACAAAATAGCTCTCAGCAGTGATTGTATCAAGGCTTTTTCAAAAACCTTAGGAAAGCATTTGCCAGCCAAGGAATTATAGTATTACTGTAACCAAGAAAAATATTCTTCCTGTTCTCTTCATGTTCAGTGGGGAAAAAAGTTTTTTAAAATGCTAGTTTTCATTCTTGAAGGCAAAAGGATGTACATAGGGACTCACATATGGAACCATACTGTAAGTATTTGAAGTAACCAGTTGCAAACTAGATGCCCTTGCAGCCTGGCAACACATAATTTGTTTCTGTTATGGGCCAAACCCTTGTTCACACTGTTCTGCTAAGTAATCCCATTCAAATCAATAGGAAAACATACATGATGCAAGGAGAATTTTGCCTTAAGTCTTCTAAGTTTAGCATTGTTGGATTTTGTCTGTGCCAGGATGGAAGTGTTTCAAAACCCAGAATGCCTCAGAATTTGATGCTCACAGTTGAGTAGGTGGCTCCCTGAGTCAGCATGAAACCACTGAGAGAGCTTAATGTTAAGAAGATTTTGTTGGAGGTGCAGCCTTCAGAAAACACACAAGCTCAGTTGTGAAATATATATATATGCATATATATATATATTATATTTTATTTTATTTTATAGCCAAAATGTTATTTTGACACTTAACCAACTGTCAGTTCAGGTAATTATGATTTGCCTGTCAGGGCTTCCTGCTCAGACTCCAGCAAGGCAAGGTTACACGTTTCCTTTCTTCGCTTGTTATCTTGTGCAGTTAAACAGCACTTCAATACACTGTGAAAGACCAAGTTTCAAAAGTGAGCAAAGAGATTTCTGTACAAGACTTTCTGTGTGCAAGATCCACTGTTTTTTTAAAGGCATTTTAGGATTCTTCAGGGAAATCATGCAAGCTAAATGTAGGATTCAGAACCACCACCATGTCAAACATAAATCTTCCCTAACAAGGAATATATGACAAATTTGGAGCACTGGCTTTTTTAATCTTTTTATAGCTCTGGGTTTGTTTCTTTTTTAAGGTACAGTATGTTATTCAGGGATACCATAAGAGAAGAGAGTATATTGCAGCTTTCCTGAGTCACTTTGGAACGTAAGTTTTCTTCTGATGCATTATTTTCTGTAGCATGGGGGGAAGTGTTGTTTTCTGCACATGGTCTTTGGTGGTGTCACTGCTGTCCACTGGATTAGATGAAATCTGGTCTTTTTTCACAGAATGATGCATATAGATTGTCTCTCTGTAGCAGTACTGGAATGAAGTTCAGCATTACTTCTGGGCCAGTTGCCGATCTGATTTTACTAGAAGGGAGCTGATGATGGGAAAAGGACAGCATGGATTTTCTCTTTGTGCAAAAGAAATGTGGTCTTTTCTGAAAAAGTGACTGGAGGGGTCTTGCAGTAGTAGGCAGTGAGTGAGGTGGGAGAATGAGGAAGTGGGTATGGGTCCAAGCCTTGCAGGAGCCAGAAACCACTGCTCGGTGTAAAGACAGGACTGGGAGTCAGCTGCTCCCACCGCCCAGCAGTGTCTTGGCTCAAGAGAGAACAGGCTATCAGGTCGTGGTGAATCCCTGCAGTTCAAAGGTCTGCAGCCTGGCGTGGTGACACATGGGCTTCAAATCAGCTAACCAGGGGTGCCTTGGCACTGTCAAGGTTAGGTGCTTTGGTTTCCCACCTAAATCCTGACTCGAGCAAGAGCCCAGGAGCCGATGCGTCAGTGCTTGCCTGACCAGCAGTGCTTTGCCTCCTTCTCAAGGAAGGGGTTATTGCTCCCAAGTGGTGATTCCAAATGACATGAATACTTGGGAACACTTCAAATGTCAGCTTTCTCAAGGGCAGGAAGACAGGCATGCACCCAAATTTTATACAACTATAGTGAGATAATGACTGTAATTAGTCATGTGAGTAGATAGAGAGTCAATGCAAGCTCAGTCTGCATGAAAAAAAGTTACTCCGTTCTCTTCTGAGCAAACTACAGTGTAGAAATGGCCTAGGTGTGCCTATGATTTTATTTCACCTGCAATGTAATTCATGAGTCCTGATGCTGTTTGAGACTTTTAAAGCATACTGACTCCTGATGGATGAAACTTTTAATCCATCTATTGAGCAAGTCTTCTATATTTAATTTTTGTATGCTTTCATGCTTTGCTTTTTGAAGATACACTCTTCTGAATTTTCAGATTTAAACTCTTCTCAACCTGCTCATGTTCAGTTTTAGCCTGTCACTTACTGCAGAGTTAATAAATTATTTTAATCTGAGTAACATATAGGGAATTTGTGTGTGTACAGTTCTTATCAATTTAGTACTAATGATGCATTTGCAGGTCTCCTTTCTTTCTAAAGTGCACTGATATAAACTAAATATGGCCTTTCTTTGGGTAAGAAACTCCAATACCACAATTTACCAAAATAAATAAGATTAAAAGTTTAATTTTCATTTAGCAAGAAAATTGTAACTGTTAATAAATAAAGCAAATACTGGAAGCTTCAGAACAACAAAAAACAAAACCAAAAATAAACCACCAATACTTGTATTAGAGAATTTACATATCTGTCATTCAGTATTAGAATTAATAGTATGTAAAAATTGTATTAATTTGTTTGTTTGTTTTCATAGTGGTGTAGTGGAATATGATGCAGAAGGCTTCACAAAGCTTACTCTGTTGTTGATGTGGAAGGATTTTTGCTTCCTTGTTCACAGTGAGTAACTCTTTGCCTTAGGCATAAATGTCTGTCTTCTTGAAGATACAAGTTCAAAAGGGGAAAAATACAATTACAGGAAACCATTTAAAAGTTTTAGTGATTTTTATCCAGTGCTTAATGTATTTTTGATGTGACCATAACACTTTGAAAATACAAAATCCTGACTCTATTTGGAGAAGGGGAGAGAATCCACACTGATAGCATACTGCCTGCTTTGCAGAAACCCAGAAGCATCCTGGCAAGGTTTTCTTGTAGTTTGACTCAAGATTAGGTTCACAGTTGTAACTTGTCTTTTTAAGAGTGTCAGTAATGAGGACCAATGCTATACATAACCTGGCAATACCTAAAATCTTCCATAATTGTCAGGAATTAATGCATTGATAGTGATAGTAAAGACACTTATAGGAAAATGCATTAAATGAGAAACAATACTGTACTGTTGTTAAAAGCCAGAAGTTACTCCTAGAGTGAAGCTGTGCAGGCAAAACTGCCTAACTGTTTGCTACAGTACTGAGCTAGATTTGCTATCATTTCAAATTTTTAAATCAAGTTTTTATTACTTTAAAAAAGATATTCTTAATTAAGTAAATACTTAGGAAGTACTTCATGTAGGAATAAGTTAGTGTGGATTCATTACTGCCTTACACATGTAAACTTAAGTAGCATTATGAAGTAGCAGTTAATTTTTTCTTCTGTGGTCAGCTGTAATTTACAGGTATCAAAGATGTCTTGGTCTGTGGAAATGCAGTCACATTACTCTTTATTTTTGATTGTTACGCTTCTCTTTGTTTAAAATAATTACAGCACAATCTGTGCAGCTGCAACTTTGATATTTGGTAACACTCTAACACTAGAATATTTCTGATTACATATTTTTTGATTGAGAAGTAGCTTTTCTTACAGAAAACTAATGATGTCTTAATGACATTGGAATTTGCCCCAGAGTTTTTAAAGCAGGAATTGAGGATTGACATTGTTCAGAGAAGTCTTTCACTCTGTGTAGTATTGGAGAGCCTAAAAAATGGTCTCAATGATCTCTTTATCACCTAAGATTTCTAGACAGAAATGACCATGAGAGGTCTAGAAAACTCAAACTTGAAATTAAAAACTTCCATTATATAGTATTACTTCAATTGTGGGAAAAGGAAATAAAACAGTTAATTTTTGAAAAATTCTCCTTATTACGTCTTTAATCACTCTTCAACTACCATTGAAAATTGGTCACTGGGATTTACTTCTATGAGATGATGCTTCTTTACGTACAACCTTCTTGAAGGTTTCCTACATTTCTTACTCCCTAGTATGTTTGCCTTAATTTTATCAGTAGTTAAAATTCCCGTGGACTGGATTTTTGTTGTGGGATAATACAACTTAATAGATGTTGATGTTAGATTTCAGGGGAATCAAGATTCAAATTTCTGTTAAATAACAGAGTAGCTTTTAACTGTGAAATATTCAGAATGCTCAATTTAACTGGCATGAAAGCTGCAATTATAACTGAATAGTTTATCACTATGTATTAACCCTCTGGCCTTAGCAATCATACAGTGGCTTAGCTGTGTAACCATTGCATCACCCGCTTGAACAATCCGCTGCAAAAACATTTCTGCTCCATGCACTGAAGGATATTGCAATGAAAGGACCGAAACCTGCCCTTCATTTCCTGAGTGAAGTAATGTAGGCTTTCATCTCTTAACCACTGACATAACTATGTATATTATGGTTGAATATTTAGCAAGCGTCTAATAAAATGTCTGGGAGAGATAGCCATAAGTTCTAAACTGTTCTACTTTATATATTTACTATAGCACATAGAGAAAGTATTCAGAGGAGAATAAGTAGTTCAGTATACAGCAAGCACCATGGCAAGTCAAATGAAAGGAACCATAGTAAATTTTAGTGGTATCTTAATTTTGGTTGAAATTTTAGGTTTAATTGGGCTTGTGAGATATATGTAAGCCCTAACATGAGTTGTATTTCCTTTAAACCATTCATTCAGAGATTTCAAAAATAACTTTGGTGAGTTTTTGCCACTATTTGCGTTCAAAGTTACAAACTTGTTTGGATACTAGGAAGGAAAACTCATTAGAAGTAAAGTGAAATTATTCTGGATGATTCTATTGAGTAAACTGAATTAAAGATCAGAGGAGAGACACAGAAAAGTAGTCCTGAATAGCCAAAGCCCAATAACTTCAGAATAGTTTCACTTGCTAAAAAAAAAATATTTTTTTGCAGAAGTTACAAAATGAAGAGCAAAGTCTACCCAGTCTATCTTAAAACACAGAAGAGCTACTTAATTGCAAACTTAATCATTATATTAATGTAGTTGCTGAAGTTATTATATTAGATCAAAGAGCAGTCAAAGGAACTGTTGCTTTAGTGATTTAGTTCTAAAAATTGGTCAAGTGCTTTCAAATATATGACAGAAGAAGTAAACATTCAGAGAAGTTTGTGCATCCACATGGAAGAGGAAATCATTAATCAGGCTTCATGCTTTTGATAGTGATACTGTTTATGAATAAGTCTCAGTATGAAGCTTTGTAAGTAAACTTAGGGCTGATTTCTTTCTCTTCTTCATTATAAATGAGTATGATTAGTTTTGGAGATAAATATTTCTTCATATTCTTGCTCGTGCATACAATCTGTGTTTTTATACTATATATAAAAATACAAGTTACATTATCTGTTCACAACTAAGAATTAAGTAGCCTTATTAGTAAGGACATAAGAATAGGACTCCAAAGCAACCTGTATATAGGCTTTTCAAAGATTAATTTTTATCTTACAAGAGTTTTAGGTTATCAGCACAAAGGAGATTGACAGAAGTAGGACTGATTGCAATAGCAATGAAACACTCTTTGTGTGAGTAGTTACTTAAGACATCCTGAAAAGGACAGATATTAAACTAAAAAGATTTTGCTTCATGGAACAATATTTCAGGGTATGGAGAATGTTGGAAGCTGTCAACTCTACCTTAAGTTTGTATGCAATCTCAAGACTTAGGTGAGGTTGGTGGGAACACTTGCTGCTAAATCCAAGGGATTTCAGCTTCTGTGTGGAGTAGTACTAGTGACTCAGGAGGTCCATAGAGCTGCTCGTGTAAAAGCTAAAGTTTAATTAATGAGCTTTCTTGTTAGGGGAGTGTCAAGCCCACCTGCTTACCTATCTGTGCAGTTACGTGGTTACTTCTGTCAGAGAACAGATCAGAAATAGCATCTCAGCAAGGAGGAGGTTTCTACACAAGAGAGAAGTAGGCAAGGGGGCTACTGCATTAGCTGGATCAAAGGAGGTTATACCTATGAGTATCAGACTTTGGGCAGACACTTGCTTCTGGATTCAGGTTTTTTTGGGTGGAAGTCATCAGTGCCAGCTGCTACTGCATTCCTGTTCTGGTATTGCTATCTGCACACCTTTGTCAGCAGAGCAATTTGTGCCAGTGCAGTCAACTTAACATGGTTTGAATTGATGGCCTGAACTAAACAATTGTATTCGATCACATAAACCTCTTTTGCATCTGGATTAGTACATGGGTCCACAGCCTCAGAAAGCAGCTTGGAAAATAAGGATACAAACGAGGAATTTTTTGGTAGCCATGTTTGTCAGATGAGTCTTGGGAGGAGGGGGAAAAAAAGTAGGGAATTTTGGGAAAGAGCATTAGTAGCTGGGAAGACAAGTTTACACTACTGCACAAAGAAAGTGCAGTTTATTCCAGTAATGTTCAGAGGAAGGGGAATGTATGCCCACTCACTGTAAATAACATTGCACTGAAGAAGTAATTTGTTCTGCCTGTTCCTTTTCCAAGAAGAAATAACTCAGATATTTAGAGGTTTCAGATATTGTTTTAATCTTTCAGAAGAACAACAATAATCCTTAGAATTTAGGTAAATGTTAATGTTCCAGGCATCTGGTGTAGTTAAGATGTTACCTGTCCTTTGGAGGAGATTGCCCTACCCCTGGAAAGGCAACAGAACAGAGCTGATGAGCATTCATCATCCCCTTCATCTGTTCATCCTGCAGTTGATGAAATAAACAATTAGACTTTGTGGTAATAAAAGGTAGCAAAGAGGTTTGGTGAAGTCTTAGAGACTTTTCCTAGATGAACATGTGTCTGATAGCTTAGTGTTTGCTGTTTGGGTTTAGGAGAGTTTATGCCAGAAGGCAGAAGTATTTATTCTTATTTTTGAAATTGTTTCTGCAGATTCTTATTTCAAAACTGACATACCTACCACAACAACTCCACAGTCACTGAGATAATAAAAATGTTGAAGAAATATTTGTTGATCCAAGAAATTTGGAAACCACAACATGAGACTGTGTTCTGTGTGAATATTCCTGTAAATATTTCGGTAAACCTTTATCTGCCCATAGTTTTGGCTGTAGAGCCCTCTCTGTTATATAGGGCCTGTAGATGTTGTGAAATGTAAACCTGAGAAGTAGATAGTGCTTGTTGTTTTGATATAGCATTTAATACAGTTGGAATATGCTCATTGAATCCTGTATGCTACTGGAGTATGAATAACCATTTCAGTGGGATTGGTAGTTTTAGAGATATTTTTTTTAGTTTTCTGTTGTGTAAGATTTGGTCATATACCTTTTGGAAGCTGAAAAGAAAGTAGCCTTCAAGAGTCTTTGGAGGAAATTCAAATTGCATTGGCTCTACTTCTTCAGGAAAGCTAATCTGTGAAAGAGAAGCCTCTTGAAGAAAAGGTATGGAAAAATAAACTGTGAAGAATAGAAAATGAAAAATAAATATATCTGCCCCAGCTGTTTCATGAAAAAGGCCCAACTATTGAGGGGAATATTGACATTAAATCCGTTCTGTGAGCTTTTATCTAATGAGGTACTTTGGTTTCCTTACACAGTGCTTTTATTTTATTCTTTTAATTGTTCCTTAAATGAAAATGGGAATTTATGACTCTGAAAGCTAAGGGAGAAGGAAAAAAGAGACAACAGGACAATGTGAATAACAAGTTATAGGAGAATGGAGTGATGTCTGGATAGCAGACATAGTTCAAAAAGCAGTTCAAAGCAGGATAGTTCAACAGAAATGTCAAGCATAACAAAATACATGTTTTAGGATTCCAGTATGATTAAAAAAAAAAAGTCTGCAAAGATTGTGTTGGGATGTCATTTTGTTCTTAAATGAGAAACTGGAGATTACCAAAGCTCCAGTGGTGTAAAACTGGCCAGCAGAAGTGAAAAACCACTTGGATCTAACACTCGGGAGTAATTTTTTAACTGTTGGGCAAGCAGGTAAATGTCTCTCACAAGGCAATCTTTGACTCTCAGTGCTTTTAGTAGGTACCATGTGTTTATTTCTTTTAATCTAGTCGTGAAAGTTCCTGAGCACACATTGTTCTTCCTACAGCAAAACATAACCTGAACAGAGGAGGTCTCTTCAAATCTCTGTATGCAGTTTTAATCACCCCCAAACAAAACATTCTCTGATGTTTCTGGTGTAGTGAGGTGCATATCACTTCGCAGATGCGCTGTGGTGCTGGGGATCAGGCAGTGTGGTGGAAAGGTGGCAGCCTGAGTCACAGGCACAGGTATGCACTTAACCAGGCATAGGCTGGGGCTCTCTCAGGAGTGAACTGCAGTGTCTGGAAAACTAGTTGGACTTTTGATGATGATTTTTCTCCATTGCAGATTTTTCCCTGTTATTTTTAAGGGATGCTGCCAACTAGATTTAGTTTGAAATTTCTATTGAAAGCTGATAATTTGATTTGTCATTAAGAGCACGATAAACATCATGTTCCTTTGATTTCATCTTGGGTATTTACTTGTACATGAGCTGAATAAGATTTTCTGCATTTAAGTATTCATAATAGATGCAAGTGAACCTGAAAACAGGTTTTCTTTTCCTTTTTTTCCTGTTTCTCGGTGTTCATTTTGTAATCATGTCACTCAGAATAAACTAGTTTTAGGTTTGTATTTGTAAGTCTGCTACAAAAGGGAGAGTGGACAAAAATTTGGTATGAACAGCAACAAAAAGGAAACAACTGTTGTGATGGAACTAGGTTTTACAAGTATTTTGTGATGACCTGACATGGGTAGACTGGCAAAGTATTTTTAAGTGTCACTTTGCTGCGGATATTACCTATTTGATTTCTGAGAAACACATATATTTGCCATACTTTTAAACCATAGTATATTGCTGTAGACATTAATAGATATTCTTCCAGGAACTCTGAGCACTTTAACAAATGGACTGAAAGGTTTTATAATAACTTCTTATAAAATTACACTTTTCAGAAAAGTGAGCTGTTACTTTTTCTTATCTAATAGATATATCTAGAGTACTACCATGTGCACAAGTGTATGACACATAACTAATAAATTCTCAGAAACATGCCTGAGATAGAGAAGTGATATAATCCTATTTTATCCACTCCATTTTAAAAAAAAAAAAAAAAGTAATTAGGTCAGAAAAAGTCATTGACAGAGGTGGGACTTGAATACAGTTTCTGGTACTTTTTCTTCTTATTCTATCTGTCTTGTGTGTACACATTTTGACGTTGTCTCACATGGCATTCACAGATAGTTTTTTATAAGGTGAGAACCAAGCAGAAGGTATGAGACACAGCAAGTTGAAAATTGCATACAGGAGCAAGTAGAAAGCAAATATTTTGTTTTCAGCCTGGAAAGGAGATGATGAGCATTGTTAGAGGTATGAAATTTCTAGACACAAGAGCTGTATCAAGAAAAAAAAGCTTTTCTGACAACTTCTTCCCTGTTTCCTTCCTCTTTCTACCCAATGACAATGACTGTGTCATCAAAGTAGACATCTTCTAAGAATCCACATGTGACACAGCAATGGCACACAAAGGTGACTGCTGCATGCTTTTTATGAAATAAATGTATTTTATTTCTGAATAATAATAAAGACACCTGGGTTTAGAGGTGGAACTGGTCACAAAAATGCTTCAAAGTCTAAATGGGCAAAGGAGTAATTGCTTAAGCTGCTTTTCTGTCTCCTTTGTCACCAGTTCCCTTGCCCCATTCAACACCAGTCTCATATTTTCCCTTGTCTGCCTTTTGCCATTGCTGTTCCTGTAGCAGCCCATCTTGTCCTTAACTCCCCTTGGCAAACTGAACTCCAGATGAGCTTTGACATTCACAACAGATGCTCCACATGCTCACAGAGTGTCCATATCTCATGTGCTTCTTTTTTATATTTGGGTTTCATAAGGAGCTACTTGTTCATCTTTATAGGCATCCTGCCACTAGTGCTTGACTTCGTGCTAATTAGTGTGGACCATTCTTGAGCTTGGAGGAGATGATCATGGACACATCTTCTCTCCAGGACCATTATCCCCCACAGGATTCTTATATGGGAGGAGCAAGATCCCTGAACAGCCCAGAGTCTTCTCCCTGAAGCTTAAGGTTGTGATTCTGCTGTTTATCTTGCTTCATCCTCAAGTGGAGTATTCACAAGAGAGCACCAAAACTTGCTAGTGGTCTGGAAAGCGTGGCTTAAAAGTGTATGCTCCACAAACTAGTTCTTTAAGTCATGAAAAGATAATACAAGTCTTTAGAACTGTAAAAGGTGGCTTCAGGGGCAAAACTAATGAATTGTAATATTCAGGAGTGGGAAGAAGCAATGGGCCTATATTGCAATAAAGTAGGTTTCACTTGAGCTTTAAAAATACCTGGGGTGGCTTGGTTGGCTGGTTGGGTCAGACAGGTTTACACTGCATTGTGGTCTGAAGGCTGTGAGCCTGCATGGAGTGGAGCCTGCAAGAACAGGACAGCATGTGTGTCAGCCAAGGGCCTTGTTGTGTCAGCAAAGGGTCCTCTTGACCTGCAGGATAATGTCACGCTGATCACAGATGAGAGTGAAAGAAATCAGTTTCCTTTCAAATCCCTGGCATCATTTCAAGCAGGAAAAAGAACTTATTTGCAAGCCTCATAAGCTTAATAAAGTGTCAGAGAAGCCAGTGGTTTTGCACAGATACTTTTCAAGTAAAAACGTGCTTTAGAAGTCTTCCTGTCCTGGTGGAAAGTAATGTAAAACTTCTCAGCATTTAGCAGAGTATCTCTGTGCTGGGAAAACAGAGGAAATGTTTTCACCTTTTCTCCACCACTTATTTGCAGTGGTCACCAGCCTGTGCCAAGAAAGGGCACAGCTTGCTTTTTACACCCATAACAACTGCAACTGTATTTAAAGTATAAGCTTCAAGTAATTCAGATGGAGAAGAGGCAGCTTTTAGTAGCATCAATCTCATCAGCACTTAGAGAAGTTACTATAGAAACTGTTACAGCAGAAACAATGAAAGGAAATAAAAACGGAAGGGGGAGGGAATGAAGATCTTTAAGAATTTGAAGCAAAAATAAAGTGAAATAGATGTCACTAGCTGAAGCTAGTGAGGTAAAAATAAAAAGCCTTCCTCTTAATTGAAATAATCATGGTTACAGAAATCAGAGAAGGAAAAGACTTCTGAGGCCATTATGCCATTTCTTTGAGCTCAGTATAGGATTATGAGATATTCCATGGGATATTTTTAGGAGGCAGTCCAGTCTTGCTGTAAAATTATAACAGAGTACGACGTAGTTGAGGTGTGTGATGACACTCCAAAGCAAGAAGGCATTATAGAGCAGGTTTAAGGTTAAGATACATCACTTTTTCAGGGTCTTTGACCACATAATTGGAAACTGTTTAAAGAATATCTTCATTTGATCTGTTATTTAGTTCCTCTGTAAGACTAAAGAAAGAATTAGATACTCTGTCTGCAGCACATGGCTGTAATTGAAGGTATTTCAACTATTTTTGTCACATTTTTTAGAAATGCTCTTTTCATATGAAGGATGGGGTACTTAAAAAGGTAACAGGTCATGATAAAGTTACAGGATATTTTTACAACCATATCTTCTGCCTATGTTGAAATAAAATCAAAACAATAGTAATCATAAATCTAGTTGCTATTGGTGCCTAGGCTATATTGTAGTTCCCATTATCAGTGGAGTGAGAACCACAAGATAGATGCAGCAGTGTCATGCAATCCTCTTCAAATAAAAATGGGTTACATACTTTACATTTTTTTTAAAAGGAACACAACTAACAAACCAAAATGAAGAAAACTAAGTGATAAATCTATTCTAGTCTCATTAAAATCCACAAGTCAACAATTCTACTCTCTGTAATGTGGTGGAATAGTTTAATCCATAACAATTCATTGTTACTATTCTTCAGGGCTGTCTAAGAGCACTGGAGTTAAAGGTAACCACTTCTGTATCTGAGGCTTTGAAGTTGGCCATATCCGTAGATGTGCTGCTGTCATGACACATTAAGGCAAGGGACTTACTGCTGGTGCAAAAATTTTGAAAAGAAACAATTCTTATTTAAAATTAGCCTGGACTGACAGTAAGTGAAAGTCATTCCTCTCCAATTTAAAAAAAAAAAAAAATTAGATTACTTCAAGCATTCCTTAGTATCACGATGAACATTATCAAAGTTACTGCAAAGTGGGCCTTTGCCAGCACTTCCAGTAACTGCTGTCAGCCTGCTCACATTCTGGAGGTAATGCATTAAACCTGTACTAAAGAAAAGGTTCCTCAGCATTTTCCTGCTTTCTTATCCTAGCTGTGTTCTTCCTAATGACCTTTTAATAACCTTAACTTCTAAATATCTCAGTGGTCTCCCTTCTCATTCTTTATTATTATACTTGCTGACAAAGGTCAAGAAGATCTTGTGTTGTTGAGGATCAGTCATTATACAAATGTAGTTACAGGATCATCTCTGTAGTGAGTCCTTCTGTTACCAGACCTATTTCCTAGTACAAAACAAGGAGCTTTGAATTTCATATATTCACATAATTTGCCATAATCCAAAATATTGCCATTTTTCATCATTACGATCACACTGTAATTTTTATCTTCCATTTTTCAGTGTTGTAATTTGGTTGATGCATAACTGATTAAGTTAACAGAAAAAGAAAAAAATATTTCTTTTTTTCATAGCAATTGTATTTTCAGAGTATTTATTTAGAAGCATTGTGTATAGAAGTCATCTCAATCATTTACTATACAAGTGTTCACTTTGCCAATGGGGTGGATATTTCCCATAGCAAGGGCAGACTTAATTATTTCAAAACCAGACACGATTACCAACATACCCAAAGTGCTGCAAGTGTCTCAGCTAAAAGGCCATAAACAGCTTTTCATTTTTCATTTGATATTTTGCAATGTTGATTTCAAAATAGCATTTTCCTGCAAATAACCTGTTATTCTCCAAGAGCAATATTAGCCCTAAT